GTCTGGCTGTTTAAACCGTTCGGCGTGCGACACGATCATTGGTACGTTTTTCGTCGATCATGTTCTTCTCCTCTCTCTCTCTCTCGCTCTTTCTCGCGCTCTCTCTCTCTCTCTCTCTCGCTACGAATTCGACTAGAAATTCAACCAAATACAATACGATGTGTGCAACCCTGCAGCGACGCATTGTATATCGTCCTCCCGGATTGCAAAATTGTGCAACGCGTGGGACATCGCTGCAGGCGTTCCGAGAACGAGAATCGACCAAAACATGTACCTCCGGCTCTATATTTCGAGGCTGTAGAATTTCGACGCAGGCGAAAGAAAGGTCGAAGCGTGCGTAAAATCTCGCTTAGGTATATCAGGTCACGGGGGGTCGCTGGGAGCAACCCTAGTAGAATTACACGATCCCGGGAACACGACCAGTGCAAGGAACTGTAACTCCGTAGCTCTATACTGTTATTTCTATGATACTTATATGAAACGTTTACGTTGTACTTGTTAACGGAAATGCGCGGACACGCGAGAACAGAGCGCGAAATCCGGTGAGACGAAGGAGAGTGTCGAGTGTTCGAAAGACGGAGTGATGATGAGAGTGACAAGGAGAGAGAGAGAGAGAGAGAGAGAGAGAGAGAGAGAGAGAGAGAGAGAGAGAGAGAGGGAGAGATAAGAACGCTGTGCGTTTAATAAGTCGGAAGCGGCGAGAGATTGCGACAGAGCGGACTCTTTGATCGCGTTACGTGTATTAGATTGTTAAGGCCGTCGTCCATTTAACGGCGCCGCGCGCGCGCGAACGACGTCGGATCGGCTTCGACGCGCGTGCCCATCGTCGTTACGTCCGATTGAAACGCGCGCGAATCCACCACCTGTACGCGATGCAACAATCCACGTGCCCGTGGATCGAATAGAATGGGAATGAAAAAAGCAAAAAATGTAACGCGCGGCACGCAGCATCGCTGCGTCGACCGTCGGTCGGTCCAGCGTCGTTCGCGCGAGACGCTGTTGAATGGACGACAGCCTTTGTTATTCGAATGTTATGGCATATTATAGTTGTGCGTTGTTCAAATAGAGGATAAAACGAGAAACGGTGTAAGTGCGTGAGGCGCGTACGAGTGTGTGCATGAGAAAGAGAGCGAGAGTGAGGGGCGGGGGGAGGGGGTGTAATTTTCGTATGTGTACAGTGCCATCGTCAATTATCAATTAAGACGAACCGACTTTTACGCTTAATATTATCCTTTGTTCGTTTCTCTCTTTCTCGTTCGTTATCCGAACTCTCTCCTCCGTTCTTTTCGTTTCTCTTTCTCTCGTCGATTCAGGATCGCCGATTTCCGGTACCGAAGACTTCTCTTCGGCCCTCTTTTTCATTTCCATTCCTCGCTCGCCCCCCGTCGTTCCGATTCGCATTGGAAAAGTCGAAAAGCTCTGCGCCCCCCACCCCCCTCATCCCTCGATGTACATAGGGCTCGTAGCGAGCTGCGGATTGCGAACTCGCAGTGAAGCCACGTGTCACACAGCGGTGAAATCGCGATTTCTGTATTCGTGCGCGAGTCGTTCGCCGTTTGCGAGCACTTCATTCGCGGCCGTAGATCGCGAGCCAACGATCCGAACTCGAACCGGAAGAACTATTCGAGATCGTTCGAGTCGCGTTTCGTTCGCCGGTTTCGATTTCACTTGAATTTCGAATTTGACACACACCTCGGCTGCGTGGCCGGATGATCCCCGCTCTGGAAGTGCTCGCAATCCGCCGACTCGAAGCGTCTCGTTGTTAGATACGTATTTCTTTGGTGCTTGACATATCCGATTGTTGTTAATGAATACACTATATTATTATCGATAACGCTATAATCATCGACGTGTGATCGTCATACCTCAACGTCATCGTCATCGTGATCATTAGCATTACTACTACTATTACTACTGCTATTACTGCTACTACACAACTACAAACAAATACTATTACTACTACTATCACTATCACTATCACTACCACTACAACAATTACAACTACTACTACCACCACTACTACTACTACCAATACTATTACTACTACTACTACTACTATTGTAACTACCGACCACCACTTCTGATTATTGCTACCATCGGCTGCTACTATTATTATGATTTCTCCCCGTTTCTCTCCCCACGTCGCTCCTGTTCCGTTTCGGTTCACGATTAATTGATACATTACCGATCACGACGATTGTACATTTAGCGCGCCAATTTACCGCCTATTAACTCGATCGGCGCGATGCTCGTCCGAGTTTCAGCGGCACAAGCGATAATCGTTTCCCGACGAAATACAAGCACGTACTCACACACACACACACAGACACATACACTTACACGGAGACACGCATACGCGGAAGACACACGTGTCCACGCACAGGCGTGAAACATTGTAAAACACGCATTGCGGTTATATTTCAGTGTATCAGCATAACGATATGATGTTTCCCATAGAATACATTTTACTTGGTTTTTATATTTCGTAGTATTTTATTTGGCGCACAAAAACATCGCGCGTCGAAGGAGAACACGGAGCATGTGCGAGAAAATTGTCGCTCGCGTTCTTCCCCTGTGTCGACGTATGCACACGTGTACATACACTTCTTGGTCCGACCTGTTCTCTCTTATTGTCGACGATAATTCTACGACCGCCTGACGAACGATTCGCTGTCGGACGTTCCCTAGGATGCGACCTGGTCGTCTCGAGTCCCTTCGGTACCGGGAATGGTGTCCAAAGGTATGTGCGCCGGCCGGAAACGGTCCTTCGTTATCACCTGCCCTGTTCTATCTGCCGGAAAAACTGTCTTCGCGGAAACTGTCTTTTATCTGAGGAACGATTTATCGGGCGCCGTCCTATCGTGATCGTCGGAACGGCGGACTAGCGTCGTCGGGTCCCATGCTTGCTGTCTCGCAAATTGTCTCGCGAATCGTCTCGCAGCCTGCTTTCCGTCGAGCCATCCTCTTGCATCTGATCGGACCACCGATGGTTCCTGCAAACTCCCGAGATCTCTGTTTCACCGAGAAACGGACTCGCGATTTTAAGTCACAATCGAATTTCTGACCGTACGCGTGCTAATGTTTCTCTGATTAATTAGCAGCTCTCTTTCTCTCTCTCTCTCCCTTTTTCTTTCTATCTCTTCCTTTTTTCAGATATTCTTTTCGTTGTGTAACAGAAATTTGAGATCCTTGGAACTCGTATCTGAAAACATTTGTTTCTTAATCGCTTGCCTCGCATCATGCTCTCCTTTCTTTGGTAGTGAAAAATAAACACAGACACATACATACATACACATACACACACGCATATTCGTTCCCCATACAAATGCGAAACAACAGCCCCAATGTGTAAGCAGCACACAGCCCGTGATGTTCACGTTGTTCAACGGTCCACCTCGATCTCCCCGAACCAATCCGAACACTCTCCGAACTTGTACAATTATTCCAAAGATGTGCGAAAGAGCCTGGCCACATGTGCATTTTCCGATAGGGTTCGCGCCGTGTTTTCGAACGCGACGCGTTCGACGAACCGCCGCACCGGCGTACGAAATTCGATTGAAATTCGGTAAAAAAAACAACGGCGGGCTCTGTTGCGCTAACTTTACCACGGTGTTGTCTCTACAGTCTACGCACACGTACTTTGGACATACATATATACACGCAGCAGGTGTACACGTGACACACACACACACGCGCGCGCGTAGGCATACGCATACGCGTTGAACAAAAGACGCGAACAATTGTGGGTATACTGTAATCGGTGTAACGGAACACGCACAGAAACAAAAAAAAAGAAAAGAAAGATAACACGGTACACACATCTCTGCACCGTGTACCGAACACAAATTTCATTGTGACGTCCACTAAAGTGTAATTCGTACGATTGTAAACATGTAAGATCGACGAGAAGCAAAATTTTGTTCGCGACCGATCTGTTGACCGGGCATTCTTTTCGGCCGAGTGTCCCGTTTATTAATTGTTCTTCGGACTGGATTCGAACAGGAAAAGTGCGCGCTCTCTCTCTCTCTCTCTCTCTTTCTCTCTCTCTTTCTCTCTCTCTCGGCTGTTCCGAATTTTTACCGGATCTCTTTAACGAAGGAAGCTCGCGACGACCGAGAACTTGCTGATGATAATTATCGCGGTAAACGAGACACTTTCTATATTATATATTCTATATTATATATTCTATATTATATATCATATATTATATATTCTATATTCTATATCATATATTATATATTATATATTGTATATTGTATACACTGTACTTTGTAGACCGGTCAACGAGTTCAGAGATTATTCGAGATCTCCGAATAAAACGGAAGAGCGAAAGCGGTTTTCAATTGATCGGCGTCTTATGTGTATACGATCGTATCTGTCCTCTGTAGAAATGCCTTATTGTCACGTGCCTCGATTAACAATTAAACTGTTCACCTGCTTACCAATTACTTGTTAGTGTACGTAACGAAATATGTACGTGTAATATCGCGTTATTCTTTGTACTGCTCTTGTAAATATATTCTGAACGATTACTGTCAACGGGTGTCATCTGTGGAACGTGATCATTTCACGCGATCAATTTGATTACCTTTTGTTCACGCATCCCCCGCCCTACGTTTCCATGAACGGTATAAATTTCGTCGTCTCCAATATCGAGACGAATATCGGTCGAATTTTCGTTCGAAATTATCATTTTCTCCGTCCGTTTATTAACGGTATTCCGTTAACGGTACATCTTCTTTATCTCACCCCAACACGCTTTCTATTCGATTGCATTAATTTCCACGAAAATGCACGCAATAATTTTGTCATTTTGTGCTTTCGCGCAAAAGCAAGTTCAGTTAATAAGCAACAAATTATTCCTTGGCGAAATTAATCAACTCAAGTTAATTTTAAATCTATCCGAACATTAAAATATTCAAATATTCAAATTTGAAGTATCGACTCGAATTCGATTCGAACAACTTCGACCAATGTTTGGGGTTGCGATTTTCGATCAACGTCAGAGTGTTCTAAGCCGGTTGGCCCGCTTGGGGTTAGTGTGTACAGTGACGCGCTGCTGTAAATAACGAGTTTATTTCTTGAAATTTTTCGTGACACGCGAAGCGAATTATTTGTCATTGTCATCTGCAGCCGGCTGCGTAGTTATATTCGAAAGAAAACGGTGTGACATATAAATTATTTAACAGAATAAAATGCCGCTTCCAGCTGCCCTAGCCGCACGACTTGCGAAGAGAGGACTGATTTCTGGATCGGAGAAACATGGTGTGTATAACTGGAAATTCTGCATGGTGTATTTATTCATACATGCATTCATTGTTCGCTATGATTTCCATTGTCTTTAGACATTTTTCGAAATTCTAAGAAGCTTGATCTACGTACGTTTGGTAAACATAACCTTAATTGCGGCGGAATTCGTTTTCAGAATTGTCGAAGAAAGAAGCTAAGAAAAGGGTTCACGAAGAGGTAATTGCGGAAGACTACGACAGTGCAAAAGATGATATCAGTCAAATTGATATTTCTCAAAAATTTATGGTAAGTCAACCGGTAAAACCGAATAATATAAATCGTGGTGTGTTCATTGAAATTTTGATTGTAGGGTTACAGCGGTTGCCCAAACAAATATAATATTTATCACGACTGCACAAAAAAGTGCAAGGAGCTGTGGAGCCTCGGGCATGTGCAACCCTCCGACAAGTATTTGAAGAAACAGATGAGGCTCGTGCAAAAGTATCCTTTACCAGAGACTTGGAAAGCTGTCTACGATCCTGGCTGGTAATTATCTACTGTACATATATAAACATCTTATATCTGTTTATATTAAACTAATGTTTGCGTTTAATAAATAGCGGACAGCATTACTACTGGGACTGGTCATCGGATTTAGTAGCTTGGTTACCACCGTGTCATCCAAAATGTCAAATATCGCAGCCAGCTTCTCAATTGAGGGAGGAACTACATCTGAAAGCAGCCGAACAGGACGATAATTTATCTAGCGATGATAGCGGCAGTGATCAAGAACAAGCAGAAGTCAGTGATTTATTTGAATAATTACTAGTTCAAGTATTAACAACACTTAAATACTATTACTATTAATTATTACTATTACTATGAATCCAGGTAGACGAACCGGAGACTAAGAAGGAGAGGAAAATAGAAAACAGATTGAAATACAAACCAGGGGATAACAAAAGGAATCAAAGATTGGAAAGGACCGATAGCAAGGATAAAAAGGACCGTACTCTGGATCCCATGGATCCAGCTTCTTACAGCGATATTCCACGGTATCGAATCAAATTTTGTTTAGCAACGTCGAAGTTTTCAAGTTCTGTGCTTAGAAACGTGGTATATGTTATTATACTTTTAATAACTTTTCAGGGGTAAGTGGTCAGACGGTTTGGCAAGGCACAACGAAGCTAAAACGGGAGCTGATACAACAGCCTCGGGGCCACTTTATCAGATGCGACCGTATCCTAGTCCAGGCGCAGTACTTAGATCAAATAGGGCCAGCAAACCGGAATCAGAATCGTCTAACAAGCCCAAAGTGTCGGGCCCCGAAAAACCAGAATAAAATATCCAACTGTTACCTATATCGTATGATTTATTATACTCCCCTTCGATTATATTCACCATAAATTATAAGACTGTGGATTTTATGCAAAATAAGAATTGCATTCATTAACTGCAAGATGCAGGAGTAATATAAAAGTTTGTTACTTTTCTTAATAACTTCAATGAGTTAAAAATAACACAACAGTGTTTTTAAATTTTTAGAATGTTTTTTCTATTTTGCAATTAATCCTCTCATTTTTAATAAAAGTGCGTAAAATCCGCAGTCTATTAATCACTACCTAGCAATTAAGTGTTAGTTCTTAATCGTGTATTTTTTAATACGGCAAAATATATTTTCGTTCAGCACTGAAATCGCGAACCGATTACAAAGGGACAAACGAAGGAATAATATCCGCGGTATTACCGGGCATTCTCTTAACTTCGAATTTTCGCAGACTTTTGTATTTCTGGGGTGATGATCTCATGTTTAACAGGAGCGTAACTAAAGTAAACTAGAATAAAAAACGGAAGATGCGTTGGATGTAGACGTAAATCCTCGCTGATCGTACCAGAGATGAGTTTTCTTTTACGTAATGTTCTGTATCTAGTAGTGCTTACCAAACGTGAGTAGACTCATTTCATCCCTGATCATGCACATGTATGTAGAGACAAACAAGACAGCAGACAGGTGGTTGAATATGTGTACAAGTGGCGTAGTACATTAGGGCGTTAAGGGGACGGTGCAGTTAAAAATAATGAAAAGCACAGGAAATTCTATCATTTTACCGATCTTTTAAACCAAAAAATATTTTAAGTATTCTTTGTGAATTTTTTCGAATAATTTTGTCTAATTTCCCCTCTATTAATTAAATGGATACACGAATAATTTAAATTTTGAGCGTGTAAAGACTCGCGCGATATTTCATGCGAGAATAACCATCGATTGTAAAACTGATCAATCAATTGATCGCAAAAGAGTGTTTAAATTTCGGTGCAATTTGTGTTAAAAGAGTGCAATATTTATATTAAAAGAAAGGGATTAAATTTTAAGGTATATATATTTCTTTATTTATTTATTTAACCGCATCTTCTCTTTAGAATCGATTTCGATGGAAATTTCGAGGTTTTCGACGTTCGAATCGAACATCGCAGTTGACACTACTGTGCCGATATAAATTCGAGTCAATGCCGAAGTTAACCTTGTTCTTGGCCTAGTTTGTCGGTAACGATGCAGGGGAGCGAGCTCGATATTTCCAAGGGATGATACACTGATAATGGAAGAAATTCTCGGCGCGAGGCGGTTCTGCGTTCTGCACATACGTCTTTTTTCTCCAGTTCCGTCAAAACTGTTCCACGTTCGTTGATCTGGTTTCGATTAAATGGTGCGACGTCCAGCTACGGAAAAATGCGATCATCATGTGTAAATATCCTGTAATGTAATGTTAATTGAACGACGCATCCAAAGATTCCATGGATTGTGGGAAACGTCAATTATCGCGAACGGACACGAGCGTGATTTTTTTGTGTACGTGTAGTACATAATTAAAGCGCAATAAATACGATCACTTAAGATTTAGGTTGTATCCGAAAGTTCTCGTGTAAGCACTTCTCAAGGTATGTATATATTCTAATTAGCGTTTCGTGTCCGTTCCAAACGATTTTTATATGTATTTGATTTAGTTTGTCTATTTGTGCATTGTTTCATATTTGTTTCCTAAACGTTCAACATTTTTTATTGAACGTCGAGGACATTATTTTTCCAGGTTAGTTCGCGAGCACATGACAGAGACCATCATTTTTCCCGCCGATTTTCGAAACCTTAGGATCGCGACGTTCGTTGAAACATTGCACAATCGCGAATTTTTTGGCAGTCGTAAATTTGAATTTGAATATCATCGGCTCTAGGAAAGCCTTCGAGAGCTTTGAAATGACGAGATAACATTCAGACAGCGGTTCTATTATTTGTTCCAAATGATGTTTCATACACCGAGATAACGAACTAAACGATTCAGTTAATGTGGAAACGATTTAATTATTAAAATCGAGAAACTAATTAATTGCTATGTAACTTTGTCAAGTGAATATCTGTTATTATAATTTGAGATTCTTGTTAATCTTTTTCAGACAACTTTCACGCATTCCTACCAACACATATATTTATTGGTAGAGTTTATCTGAAACTAATTTGGATTAGTTATTCGATCAGGCACAAAACACATACCAATATCATTCATGCAGTTCTATGTAGATATGATAGATAAAAGTAAAAGTTGCCGTGGGGTGAGTACAACAAGAATGTTATTTTACACAGAAATATTTGAATTCTGTGCTTTTTGCCTTTCCTTCAAAGTGTGCGAAATATAATTTACTGTAAGAACCACTGAGATAATTACATATTGAAATGAACGGAAACTATTAAAGTGTATTTCCCTTATCTAAGTCAATTATCTTATCTCTGTTGCATACAAGTTTTTTCTGATCCTCATGTTGAACGTTTAGTTCTAGCAAGAATATATTCTACTAAAGGTGATTCATTATTTCCAATTAATTTACACACACACGCACGCACACACACACACAACATCAAAATTATAATATATTATTTTATAATTGGAAAGTGAATATACATTTCATATGATACCTTGTTACATGTTTATTTTCATTGATTTCTGTTTTTTTTTTTAATATTCTTTTTTTAGTTAGTGTATTGGTTAATGTTAAGGTGAATACATTTAAAAATGGCAATTGGAAGTATTATCTGTGGAGCCAATACTCCCAGAATCAAGAGAAAGAAGGCAAAGGTACATTGTGTTTCATTTTCATTATATTTAGTGTGAAATATTACACGAAATCATTTCTTATATACATTCGCTAGTAGCTATCAACGTTAACTATTTGCACTGATTTGTTACAGGCTACTGAACGTAGTTGGATAGAAGCAACTTTTCAAAAAAGAGAATGCTCAAAATTTATACCGAGTGCTAAGGATGAACACAGGTATAGTATATTTTTATTTACTTGTCTACTGTTGAGATTAAAGCTCTGTGTCTATGGATAAACTTAAAGTTAAAGTTACAGAAAATTTATCATCCATTTCAATTACCATATAATGTTCAGCCTGAAGTAACAACATTGAGTTAATCAACATTTGTACTTGTTCTTTTTTTGCACTCTCCTGTCAAGTGAATAATTTACAGATATTTCCTTTTGTCGCGGAAAAAACAATATTTTTGCAGAGGCAATATGAGAACAGTTACATAGTTATACAGTTAAGTTGATTACAGGTTAACTTCTCATTCTGTTTTATTTTTTTTTTAAACCTTTACAACAGCCATATACACTATTACAGATTTATTTACACACTGTTTCAGGTTATCGTTAATACACATTTTCTTGTGTTCATTTACTTTTCATTTACTTTTCTTTCTTTCGTTCCATTTATAGGTTTTTGCAAGTACAGGGAGATAAGATTGCAGAATATGATGTGATCACCACTTCCAGGTGAGACTTCATTATGCATTCTGCCGCGACTTACACTTTTGTTTTTGTTATCTTTCTCTTTTCTTTTTTTTTCTTAGATAGATATTACAAACGAGAATATTTAATATTGCTTCTGCAAATATATCATATCTATAAAAGAGTATGGTATGCATTTTTATATATTCAAATAATTAACATATTGTTACTTATTTTGCGTGCATAGCGTTCTCAATTTCAATAGCCTTATATGCGAAGAACATTTCTAACTTCTGTAGATAGAAAGAATCTCATTGTAAATATTTCCAATAGTTCATTTCCATAATTTTGCTCATAAAATATTCATTAATGTTAAATTTTCTTTATTGCTTTGTACAGAGTGCTTGTTTCGAACATACGAGGCAATTACATTCATTGATTCATCTATACATATGTATGCAATACGTAAGGAATAAGAGTATCGTAGCTGTAGTATCATGTTTAATGGTAACTAGCATCGATTAAATCATTTCAATGAATTTAAATAATACTCAACATTATCTTTCTTAAGCCATGGTACATTCTACAATTCCTTCGTGCAACGCAAGAGAATACAAAACTTGTACAGCAATATGCTATTCTATTGTGCCAACAAAGTGAACAGCTGTGACAAGGGGCAACTGCATGCAGAAAATATTATATTTTAATTATTAATTCCTGTATGCTTTTATGGTGTATTATTATATGAGCTCCGCTTTAATTCAGAAGATAAGACATTGCATTCATCTCTGCCCAAGTGCGCTTGATCTCTTATTTACTTAACACTAACGCATGACTATAATTATTGTAGATGTTGTTGCGGCCATTCTTATACGCACCACTGTGGAACCGGAGCAGATATCAAAAGCTACACCACTAGCAATACCAAAGAGAAAGATCGGGAACAATGGTCTCCTGGTAAGAACACGCGATCGGTTCCAACCGATGCTTACGGTACAATTGAGTTTCAAGGTGGGCCACATCCGACAAAAGCACAGGTAAATAAGAGATCTTCCTTACGTTTAAGTGATACATGCGTAACGCATTGTTAATGTTAACTAATCTGTATCCCATAGTACGTCAGATTAGCGCATGATACAAGACCGGAGCCAATAGTGCAGCTACTATGTAGAGAATGGAATTTGGGACTGCCAAAATTACTCATCACCGTACATGGTGGTCGTTCCAACTTTGACTTGCAATCCAGTCTGAAAAAAGTCTTACGAAAAGGCTTGTTAAAGGCTGCAAAGACAACCGGCGCATGGATATTCACTGGAGGGACTAATACAGGTTGGTCGCGAAATCTCCTTTTATTTCAATGTCACGATCAAATCGTAATCTCAATGGAAATTCGACAGGTGTTACGAGGCAAGTAGGCGATGCACTACTTTTAGAAAAGTCCCAAAGGCAAGGACGCGTTGTGAGCATAGGTATAGCACCATGGGGAATTTTAGACAAAAGCCACGAACTCGTGAGCCGTGGAGGCGAAGTCCCGTACGATTGTCTTTCATCTCCGTGGTGAGAAAGAATTCTAAGTGAATGCTGCTGCACTATTCGCTTGTTTCGCTTGTTCATTCAGATAAATTTTTTAGGTCGAAATATGCGGTTCTAAACAATCGACACGCATATTTTTTATTGGTGGACAACGGTACCGGCGGTCGTTACGGTGCAGAAATCGTATTGCGCAGGAAGCTAGAAAAATACATTTCGAATTTGAAGCTGCAGCCATGTGAGCGTCACCTTTTCGCTTTCACAGCCTTTCACGATGTCTTCTGTACGTTTCAAGAAACATCTGTTTTGTTGTAGACACGCACAGCAGTATTCCCGTTGTGGCGTTGGTCATCGAGGGAGGAACAAACACGATACGCTCAGTTTTAGAATACGTCACAGATGATCCTCCAGTACCTGTAGTAGTTTGCGATGGTTCGGGTCGTGCAGCTGACCTTATCGCTTTTATGCACAAGTAATATTTAGTTTTTCAATGAACTACGTAGAGACTATAGTTTAAATATTAGTACATGCAATACAAAAATCATTTAGGTATGCCTCGGAGGGAGATGCGGAAGGGGGAGAAAGCGAGGGGCTATTAGAGAGTATGAGAAAACAAGTTTTGGACACAATCGAGCGTACCTTCAAAGTCTCCTCTGAACAAGCATGTCAACTGTATTCCGAACTTTTGCAGTGTACGCGTAAGAAACACTTGGTAAGTCTCTACAACTTTGCCCGATACACTCCGTATCTTCGTATGAATTCAATACACGATTTGATTTGTTTGCAGATAACAGTGTTCAGGATAACGCAGGATCGACCTCAGGAGCTCGACCAAACAATCTTGACGGCCTTGTTCAAGTCTAAACAACTATCCCCAGCAGAACAGTTGTCTTTATCATTGATATGGAATAGAGTGGACATAGCGCGCAGCGAAATATTCGTTTATGGGCAGAAATGGCCGCCGGGTGCACTGGAACAAGCGATGATGCAAGCATTGCAACACGATAGAATCGATTTTGTGAAGCTTCTTTTGGAGAACGGTGTCTCCATGCGGAAGTTTTTATCAATACCTCGACTCGAGGAATTGTACAATACTGTGAGTTTAAAAACTTTTACTGAACCGTCTTGATCAAAGTTTCCCACAGCTTCTTTAGTTATCAAAGAAATTTCCTCGTTTAGAAAGAAGGTCCCACGAATACACTTGGTTATATACTGCGCGATGTGAGACCGAATATTCCTCGTGGTTATATGTACACGCTCCATGACATTGGCTTGGTGATCAACAAATTGATGGGCGGAGCGTACCGTTCTCAGTATACACGCAGAAGGTTTCGAGTGATTTATACCAAAGTAATGAAGCGATCGGGAGCTCATCAGCAGCATATGCACCGAAACAGTTGCGCCTGGGGAAGCGCTGCTCGTTATTATTCAGGTTCGAGCAACAAGCAGGAAAGTTCAACGATAAGTCTCTTGGCGGAGACCTTGCCGGCGAATCGGGATACTCCGCTTTTCGATTATCCTTTCAACGAGCTGCTGATTTGGGCTGTTCTGACGAAACGCCAGCAAATGGCGTTGTTGATGTGGCAACACGGAGAAGAAGCATTGGCGAAAGCGCTTGTAGCCCTGAAATTGTACAAAGCCATGGCGCACGAAGCTGCCGAGGACGACCTCGAGACAGAAATTTACGACGAGTTGCGAAGCTGTGGAAAGGAGTTTGAAAATATAGGTAAGAGCTTGTCTGGTAGAATTTCACGGGGCGACCAAGGTATTAACAATGATATTATAGGATAAAATGAAAACCCAACCACGTATTATACGAAACATAAGTTTCTATTCACAGCGTTGGAATTATTGGACTATTGTTATCGCCAAGACGACGATCAAACGCAACAACTGTTAACTTCCGAGCTACAAAATTGGTCCGGTCAGACCTGTCTCTCTTTGGCGGTTACGGCGAATCATCGACCACTCCTGGCGCATCCGTGCAGTCAAATTATCTTGGCTGATCTGTGGATGGGTGGTCTTCGAACAAGAAAGAATACAAATCTGAAGGTAATTTTAGATCACTCTTGGGACGCATCACGGGCATAGACGCGACATAGTATTTGATTTTTAGGACTGATCGAAATTTCATTCGTGTCCAGGTTGTTCTGGGTCTCGCGTGTCCCTGGTACATAACTTGTTTGGAATTCAAAAGTCGCGAGGAGCTGCAACTGATGCCGCAGACTCAGGAAGAACATTTGATCGCTCTCGAGGATGAGAAAGAAGATAGCGACTCCGAGCACGGCGTGCCAACTGGTCCAGATGTCGAGGTAGCCATCCTTAACAGCGCCTACTTAAAATATCTTAAACTATTTTAGAAATATTTGAAAGGGAAAACTCTGTTCGGAGCTCTTGACTCACAAACAAATCGACTCGTAACATTCTATAGAATACCAAATACTAAATACGGTAATTAATATTAACTAATTAATTAATTAATACAATCTGCCAGTGCTTTTGTTATAATTCATTATTCATTCTCCATGCTGCAGTTATTACCATTGCTTTATTCATTTATTTACTTGTTCGTTTACTTATTTATTTATTCATTTATTTATTCGTTTCTTTGGTAATAGCTTTTAAAGTTACAAGATCAAATGAAAAATACTCGTTGCACTTTAATCGCTGATAGAAGTTGCTTAGTATATAAAACTGTATTTGCAATAAATGGTTAGATATGGTTGCTGGTTTTGAACTGTGTAGTGTGATGGAGTTACACACGAAAACGTATAATCGTGTAGATTCTATTAATAATATTGAAAAGTTTCGACCATCGGGTTGTGATCGGTATTAATATCAATAGAGCGTTGTTATTTCAGTTGTTGATTTTTGTTCCATACATGTGGCGTGAAAGGTGTCGCAGTTACATTTTATCGTTGGCAGTATACAGTTTTATTACTTGTTATTTGAATGCGTATATTCCAATGGTTTGTTTGATGAGGGTGTTACATGCTTATTGGTCGGCCAGTGTTCAATGGTATAAAGTATCAATCAATGTTAGAGGTATCGATATGTGTTTTTGTGATTCATAGACTATGTGGGTATGCGTATGAATTGTTTTTTAGAAACGTCAGCGCAGGAGCCTGAGCGTACGCAACAAATCCAGCAGCCAACAAGGCGCTAAGGTATAATCTATAATGGCCTGAAACACAATGACTCTCTATGACCAATAAGTTCACACTTTCCGGTGCACTTTTCAACTATCTCTCTTTTGTTGTTAGTTATCGACAAGGAAAACTTCTGTTTATTCAGTATCGGAATCTGTACCGGTGAGGATGATACCTAATGTTATTATCGTAAACGCATATATCGTGCCGTATTATAAAATAACTTGAAATCATTTTATGTCGACGAGATACCTATTGTACAATACATATTATATTAATGTCATGTACTATACTTAATGTCGTGTGTCGAATATCGGTATCACTCCACCAAGTTAAATGTTTACGATCCGATTAACATCCGAATTTGCAGCACTTCCCCATTAATCGATAACTACTTTGGTCAACATTACTACTTTGGTAACATTACATTTTATTCGACCGGCATATTACCACGATACATCAATGTTTTCTACCGCGATGATCGAAGTACGAGAATTAGCACAACTACAACCGTTTCTAAAATTTCAGTCCACCGTTGGCTTCGAAACAGTTTGATATAAGAAATCGTTATCGATCAGAAGGAAAACGGAAATGGAAAGAAATTAAGTCTGTCCTTTACAATCTAATGATCCTCCTCACTTACTAAAATGCACTAATCATATATATATTCTGAGCAGCCATGATTCTTGACACGAACTGCACCTTGTTCATCGCTTTCTATTTTTATTCTCACCTAATCCATAAGCTTCTTTAATGTTTTTTGCTGTGATTCAGTTGCCAATCTAGATTGCAGAATTGCTAAGTCCCCTATTGACATTCTATACACGAGGTGTTATCAAAAAGAAAAGGATGATCCAAGATCTAGGATACAGAGAAGTGTCCTAAAAAAAGCTGTTAAGCTGTTTTTCTTTTTAACAGCACCTCGTGCACGTCTAGCTCTTCGAGAATCATATTCTCTCTCATTCTCTCACATTTTCTCATATTCTCTCAAGAATAAAATCTCTATTAGATAGAAAACGAAGCATTTAAACGATAGCCATACATCTCTATAGATACTACATAAGACTCGCGTACCTATGATTCTCTGTCCCACTTTCTTCCAGAGTGTTCCGAGACGTTATAGAAATACTTTTATTTCATTGTTTGCTTCTTGCGTACGATGTATTTACCATGTATTACCATGTATTACCATTGTATTACCAGACTGTCTCCCTTAATTGGTTTGTTCGCAAAGTCCTTACCGTATAATTCGTTTCCGAGAATGGTCAAGAATTAGTCAAGATAATTCTTAATACCTCTTCGATACTTGTAAATCTCCTGTTATCTATGTTTATATGTTCTGTACGACCAGCAGAAAAATCGCCTATGCTTTTTAAGCCTAAAACTGTTCTTTTTCGTTTAGGCTTTGATCAGCAACGAACACACCACCACGGTGGTGAAAGATACAATCGTCCAAGAAAACGGGAAAGTACTGACGGACAACGACGATATCATTCATCGTGCTTATGGCATTCATTCCGACTACTATGATATCAAGAATAGCAGGCCGCTACGACTGAGGAAGAAGCTGTATGAATTTTATACAGCTCCTATAACTAAATTTTGGGCAAATGCTGTGAGTACTACCGTTACGCTGTATATACCCTTACTTTATTCTAATCACTATAACTGAGAGTGCCGTGTATTTTCTTTGTCGCAGATAGCGTACGTAATTTTTCTGGTCTTGTTCTCTTACTCGATCCTCATACACATGGAGAACCATCCGTCATTGGCGGAGATTTACGCGATCGCCTACATTTGTACCCTTGGCTGTGAGAAAGTACGGGAAATCGCAACGTCGGAACCAGCCACGCTCTCGCATAAATTCAGCGTGTGGGCGTGGAACATGTGGAATCCCTGTGACGCAGCTGCCATCATATTTTTCCAAATTGGCTTGGCCCTACGCTTAAGACATTCCACCCTCGACGTCGGCCGTGTCATTTACTGCGTCGACTGTATTTATTGGTACTTGCGGATACTCAACATTCTCGGCGTGAACAAGTATTTCGGTAGTATTTCTTGCCTTCTTAAAGATCATGTACTTGTACCGTACCGTACTGTAGCGTATCCGCTTGGACATAAGTATATACATATACACGTGTATGCATTTCTGTTCTCTTTTTTAGGTCCTCTGGTTACCATGATGGGAAAAATGGTGAAAAATATGATATACTTTGTGGTGTTGTTGTTGGTCGTGTTGATGAGCTTCGGAGTAACACGGCAGGCTATTTTGAACCCCAACGCCGAGCCGAAGTTAAAGATCATTCGAGACGTGTGTATTTTCTATCGATTACCTATGTTCGAGATTAGCACGATTACTTACCACGTTTCTTTTTATCACATAGATATTCATGGAGCCATACTTTATGTTGTACGGGGAAGTGTACGCGGACAACATCGATCCTGACTGCGGGGACGAGCCGGGAATGATACCGTGTCTTCCAGGCCGGTGGATCACGCCTGCTGTAATGTCGATTTACCTGTTAATCGCGAACATATTGATGATAAATCTACTGATCGCGGTCTTTAATAATATTTTCAATGAGGTAAACGCGGTGGCGCACCAAGTATGGATGTTCCAACGTTTTACTGTTGTCATGGAGTACGAACAGAAACCAGTTTTACCTCCCCCGCTCATTGTAGTTTCTCACATATATCTGCTGGTGAAATATTTGCTGCGATATGTGACACAAGGGAAAGCGAGTACGGGTGAAACGTACGACAACGGGCTTAAGTTGTTCCTAGAAGCCGACGACATGCAGCGCCTCTACGATTTCGAAGAGGACTGCGTCGAGGGATACTTCCGCGAGCAAGAGCTCAAACTCCAAATGTCCACCGAGGAGCGCGTCAAGATAACGACCGAGAGGGTAGAGAACATGCATCAGAAAATAGAGGATATCGATAAGAAGGAGCACACTCAGAACGCTTCGCTTCAGGTAACGATCGCATCGTTTCGATCACTAGAGCGGTCTAAATACCGTTTAGGCACCTGTTTAAACTTAGAATTTGTTTGCTCGCAGACTGTAGAGTTCCGCATCCGTAAGCTGGAGGAGCTGAACGAGCAGACACTGGCGCATCTTGGAGTGATCCACCGGTTCATGGCGACGCACATGCCCAACATCGAAACGATATCCAGCTTCGACTCGGAAGGTCGTCAGCGTAGAGTGTCGGAGCGATCGGAGCGTTCGGAGGTACTGTCGGAGACTGATTCCCACACGCAACTGCCCACCATAACGGCGAAACGCAAGAGATTGGTTCGATCGCTGACCGACGGGACGTTCCTCAGCATCGGTCCGCCGATAGACGACGAGTTGCTGAAGCACTCGGAGATGGCTGTATCGCGCGAGAATCTCAGTAGAAACGATTCTTCCGTGAGCGGGGACGGGAACACGGCTCAGGACGACTTCAAGACGACCACGAGTCTCGAGACCGAGGTTAGCAAAGGAGACAGCGGGGGAGACGTTCTGAAGAAAGATACGTTTTCACAGTCCGACAGCAGAGAAGCCAGCGGGGAACAGAGCAGAGAGGCTAGCGGGGAGCAGAGTAGAGATCAGAGTAGGGACCAAAGCAGAGATATCAGTAGCAGGGAGCCTAGCTCGGATCCCAGCAGACAGACCAGTAGGGAGACGAGCCGGGATGCGACCAGCAAAGAGCCGAGCAGAGAGGCGAGCAGCGAAGCTCCGGCTTCCGAGCCGGCTAGACAGGACTCGGTGGAGCGTCCCGCAAAGCAGAACAGTAGAACGCGCTCGGAATCGGACGAGGTGATCATCCTTCCTTCCGGTATCGCCAGAGGCGTCACCTGGGCGGAACCGCGAGTCGCGATGATCCCGTCGATGTCATCGAGCAGCAGCACCCAGAGGTCCATTCTATTGGCCATGCGAGCAGAATATACAAGCATAACGGACGAATTGGAGAGCTACTGCGGCCTGCTCAGTCCACCTAGAACGCCGCCCATCTCGCCACCGCCGTCCAGGGTCAGGCATCACTCTGAAATGTCGAACGCGGAAATGGCCTGGCAAATCGAGAACGAGCATCTGCGCGACGCCGAGGAGTGCGATTACCAGCAGATGGAGGATTTGATTCAGAGGAGGTACATCGGAGACGACGAGGAGACCTTGCACACCTCCGACGAGGCGAGCGGCGGTCCGTTTTTCATATCGAACGAGCACAGGCACCAGCTCCGCCGAGCATCCGCCATCGACGAGGAGTCTCGAAGACCACCACCCACCATCAGCGTCACCAGAGAAATCGAACAAACGCTTTCTCGACCGCCGATCCGCGAGCCCGAGAACTCCGACCCCAACGACAAAAATCTGAGCACCGTACCTGCTCCGGCTTCGGAGACCATGTGCTAACTTATCGACTGCTACGAATTTCGAAATCATAGCGTTCCCTCTGTAACTGTAACGTCCCCGTGACGCTTCCAACTTGACCGCCGAAGACGGACATGCTCAGCTACGGAGGTAACGAGATGTGCAGTACGCGCGTAAAGGTACCCTTGCTTGGTTCTGCTTGTGATCGCCGGTCCATCGCCGGCCATTGTTCGACGCCAACAACAAATATAGCTGCTCGCCATTACGGAGATCACCGAAACGGACACAGTGGTGTACATCTTATCTGAAATAATTTATTGTCGGCTCGCACAGTTATACACGTTCTGTCTTTCCCCTTCTTTTTCTTTACATTGAATCTCGTTTTCTCGAAACTAGAAAAACGAACCAGAAAACGGTGCTTTATAGTCAAACAAATGAATCGAGTTACTGGTTGTATAGCAGCGAATTTGATCGACTTTAATTATCGTTAATTTTTCTCCGATTTGGCTCGATTTTATTCGATTTTATTTCTATTGATATACATATCTTTTTACTCTTATGCGAATAGACCGATTCCACGTTTGTTCCGTATATACTTTTATAAATTGTGCATAACGCGTGTGCATATCCATAGCAAATATGCGTGTACCGATAAGAAGGCTATTGTACTTTATAATGTTACAATTAATTCGGGTATTCAGATGTTGTTACATATTACGATGAGTTTTTTCCCCTGTTTGAATACTTACCACATTTCTATGTACAGAACGATTCGATGTTTTTATCGATTTTACAGACTATTGATCGACTTGTACAAAGTATTTTCAATTTCGACTTTTATGCACGTCGTATACAATTTTATCGATTATTTATTAACGCGCGATAAACGATTCTGGATGTAGAGAATGTAGACGGTACGATTACGATACGCTTTCGAATACTCGAAGAAGTTGGACTAACGCCAATAATACCATACCACACACCGTGTTGTACGCTATCGTTAGACTGTAACTCTTAATTTGGAATTTAACTGAACCGTGCAAACTTTCTGCCCAGCTGTACACACAAAGTGCACCTATACAATATTTCTGTACATAAACGTATCGTATAATTAAGCAGCCAGTACGTACAAAATGTAGAAGAAAGTATCGCGTTCGCGCGAGCATTTTACATAACGTAGATGAATTTTCGCTCTGTATTCGGTTCGATCGATTTCGAATTCTCAACTTTTGATTAATCGCGTCGTATTCTTCGGTAAAGAGTACCGGCTGGTTAACGGTGTGCTTTTCTGCGTAGATTCGAGAATCATCGGCGATTCTCGGGACGAAAGAGCGACTTTACGACGGCGCACCGAGCGACGACGTCGATTCGTGATCAACGAATCCGCTGTCCGTTCGATCGACCGCCGCGTTTACGGTCGAGCACTTTGAACTTCGCTCTGTAGCGGTACTCGGATTCCTTCCATTTTCTAGATCGTGGACTTTACAATTTTGTATTTGTTGCGCGTGCATCTGTGCGTGGCGTGCGATTCGTTCGACGGGGCGGCAACACGCAGAACCGTACTGGCTTTAGGTGCAATTTCATTCTAGCGTGTACAGTAGAGAGATCACTCGAGAGATCGTTTCGATCGGCGTTCCAAACGTAAATAGTTTAGCGATGATCGTTCGTTAGAGACACGTGCGAAAAGCGTTCGCGTTGGTCGGACGTGCCGACGACGCGGCGACGTGCTACGGTAATGTCTCTCCAATCGACATCTCGGATCGTCCACGAAATTGGACAATTTGGGAAGAGGAGACGCGATTATTCGAGCCTTGCGACTCATTCTTATATAATTACCGATTATAATATAATATATATATAATATAATATAATATATAAAATATAATATAATATATAATATAATATATTATTATAATATATATAATATAATATAATATATAATATAATATTATTTATTATATTATAATATAATATAATATATTCTTATAGTTATAACAATTATAAAAATTAGACGCGGCGCTCGGACAGTCGTATCTCCTCTTCCCAAATTGTCCATTTCTCTGCACAATCCGAGCGTCAGTTACGGAGACATTACCAATGTAATTAGCCGACTAATTAAACGAATTTTGATCCGGATCGAACGCCGTTCGTCTCGTCGGTTCGCTTCCACCGAAATACGAAAACCGTCCTCCGATTAAATTCGACACCTGGTTCCACGCGTGTCGAACGTTCAGGATGAAACATCGCCGAAATAGATGTAACACGGCCGGGGCATGTGATTCGCACGTGGGCTAATAACGATGATCGTTCGCGCGAGCACAGCGAAACGTCGCGACGGTTGCCGGGGGATGCTCGGTTAAATTTAAACGGCGCTTACAGGGTAGCGTTCTACCCCGATTCCATCGTCTTCGAGGTCCGACGATTTCGTCGACTCGATGAAATCCGGCCGAGAAACAGCCTGTACGTAATTCCTGTTCCTCTTCGAGATACATCACTGCGAATATAAAACCGAGCGAAACAACGTGTTCACGTTGTCACGTTACTCTCGCTTTCAATGCGCATAGAACGGGGACGGATCGATCGTCGATGAACGATTCGCACGCGTCTATCGTGTCACTACTGCCGAACGTTTTTACGAATCTTTTGACATGCAGCGGTGTAAACGAAACCATTTGCCCGGACGTTCTTGCTGGTCGAGGCTTCGCGCACGAACGCGAACTTCGTTCGAATTCACTTCGCAAATACTTCGTTCTACACCCTGCATATTTAGGGCCTTATCACGCACTAACTGCTGCGTCGAACACGGAATTCTACGGACCATATAAAAGTGAACCATATCACGCGGATACGTTCCCCATGGGTGAACAACGCCAAATCCGTGTTAATAGTATCTACGATACGAGAAAAAAAAGAGAAAAAAAAGAGAACAAACCGAGAGAAATAATAAAACGGACCGCGGACTCTCCGAGGATTCGCGGAGCTCCGCGGAAGCCCGAATCCTTCGATACCGAAAAAGGGTTTCCGCCGGGTTCTGCGAACTGATCTGTATTTCTGTAAACGTCCGCGGTCCTGATACCGAAGAGTTCAACGTTAATTATTGTTCGTTCGACGCGTCAAGGATACACAGGGCGCGTTTTCGCTTCGGAAAAGTTGATCCGAATCGTCGAATAAAGAGAAGCTAAAAAGTTCNACGCGATTATTCGAGCCTTGCGACTCATTCTTATATAATTACCGATTATAATATAATATATATATAATATAATATAATATATAAAATATAATATAATATATAATATAATATATTATTATAATATATATAATATAATATAATATATAATATAATATTATTTATTATATTATAATATAATATAATATATTCTTATAGTTATAACAATTATAAAAATTAGACGCGGCGCTCGGACAGTCGTATCTCCTCTTCCCAAATTGTCCATTTCTCTGCACAATCCGAGCGTCAGTTACGGAGACATTACCAATGTAATTAGCCGACTAATTAAACGAATTTTGATCCGGATCGAACGCCGTTCGTCTCGTCGGTTCGCTTCCACCGAAATACGAAAACCGTCCTCCGATTAAATTCGACACCTGGTTCCACGCGTGTCGAACGTTCAGGATGAAACATCGCCGAAATAGATGTAACACGGCCGGGGCATGTGATTCGCACGTGGGCTAATAACGATGATCGTTCGCGCGAGCACAGCGAAACGTCGCGACGGTTGCCGGGGGATGCTCGGTTAAATTTAAACGGCGCTTACAGGGTAGCGTTCTACCCCGATTCCATCGTCTTCGAGGTCCGACGATTTCGTCGACTCGATGAAATCCGGCCGAGAAACAGCCTGTACGTAATTCCTGTTCCTCTTCGAGATACATCACTGCGAATATAAAACCGAGCGAAACAACGTGTTCACGTTGTCACGTTACTCTCGCTTTCAATGCGCATAGAACGGGGACGGATCGATCGTCGATGAACGATTCGCACGCGTCTATCGTGTCACTACTGCCGAACGTTTTTACGAATCTTTTGACATGCAGCGGTGTAAACGAAACCATTTGCCCGGACGTTCTTGCTGGTCGAGGCTTCGCGCACGAACGCGAACTTCGTTCGAATTCACTTCGCAAATACTTCGTTCTACACCCTGCATATTTAGGGCCTTATCACGCACTAACTGCTGCGTCGAACACGGAATTCTACGGACCATATAAAAGTGAACCATATCACGCGGATACGTTCCCCATGGGTGAACAACGCCAAATCCGTGTTAATAGTATCTACGATACGAGAAAAAAAAGAGAAAAAAAAGAGAACAAACCGAGAGAAATAATAAAACGGACCGCGGACTCTCCGAGGATTCGCGGAGCTCCGCGGAAGCCCGAATCCTTCGATACCGAAAAAGGGTTTCCGCCGGGTTCTGCGAACTGATCTGTATTTCTGTAAACGTCCGCGGTCCTGATACCGAAGAGTTCAACGTTAATTATTGTTCGTTCGACGCGTCAAGGATACACAGGGCGCGTTTTCGCTTCGGAAAAGTTGATCCGAATCGTCGAATAAAGAGAAGCTAAAAAGTTCACAAAATCGTGGGAAATCACGATCGGATCCTCGACGCGTGAACGAACGATAGAGAGGCCGAGAAACGAATGCCTAATTGTATAAAGGTGTGTGTGTATAGTTCACTTAAATCTTAAGGAGGAAACGTAGAGCAGATGTATTTAAGACTGTCGAAAAAAAAAGTAAAAACGATGCTTTATCGCGTCGCACGTGTATCGAGAGTTTTGCGAGCCGCGCGAATAGAACTCGCCGTTGCGGTTCCGATCGATCGGTTCTTCCGCGTTCGAACAAACGAACGAACCGGTCGATCATCGTCTGTAGCGTAAAGCATTTAGGGTTGGATCCATTGCCGAAAAGCGTTACTCGAATTCCTCGAAATCGAGCTGCCGAGCCGGCGGCAGCCGAGAAATCGGTTCCGAATCGGATCGGGCTGGCTCGGTTCTCGACTTCGAGCAGCGGTATTAGTTCAAATAACTTTTAGCGAAGTCGGTTTGCAACGCGGCGCGACCGCCGCGTAGAATGATTAAATTCGAGACAACGAATCAAAATGATATTCACAAGGATGTTGGGGGTAGCATCGGAGGAAACGAACGATGCCGTTTTGTTCCGCAAGGTTGAACATTGATCGAGAGACTCGCGACACCGTTTTTCGTGCTTCGCTTTGATTAGAAATTATGTACACGGAGTTGCGTCGAGATGAAAAAAACAAACGGCTCGTCATCGATGAAGAAAATCAGTTGCGCTGCAATTTGGTCGCTGAACCGTCGCCGGAGATTTTGTATATCCGCGACACGTTACGAAGCGCGAAACTTGCTCAAACGTTTTTTTCGAGTACGGTGTGTAAACTTGATCCGGATTCAAGCGGACGCGTCGAATCAGCGTATATTATTACATTTCTTGCGTATTTCTTTTTTTATATTTAGTCGGTTCTGCGCGAACACCGGGTGCCTGTTTTGTAGAATCGCTTTTCGAACAACGGTTCGACCGAAGTTACCGCGCGCTTTTCTTTCATTCGGCCGCCTCCGAAACTCGTTTAATCCTAGTTCGCATAAGCGCTCGCGACGACGAATTGCTGCGACCGCCAACGCTATTGCTATATTTACTATTTAATTTACTTCCTGCGGTCGCACTTTGCAAGGTGTGCACGCTGCTCGAAAAGCGAACCGGCACGCGAGAGGCTCGAGTTACTTGTACATTCTTCCTTTCCATGAAAAGAAGCTACGGGGTGGCAAAATATATATTCATGGTATATCGAATTATTATGTATATCGCACCGCTTGCGACGCGACGACGACGAGACAAAGAGAGACGGAGAGCGAGACCATGTACTTATACATACATATATCCTGTTCGATCTCGCTTTCCGCGAGGTTTTACCCCCCGATTTTACCGAGGCGTTCATGAAAGTAACTTCGAACTCGATCTAGGCGACGGTATTATTGACTGAAAGGAAAAGAGAGTCGCACAAGTGTCGCTCAATTACTTCGTTACGCGTGTAACTTCCTCTCTCCAACTCTGCGTCGCTGTAATTCTCCGTTTGACGGTAATGTCTCTCTAATTGACGCTCGGATTGTCCACGGAAAGCGGACGATTTTGGAAGAGAAGATACTATTGTTCGAGCCTTGTGGCTCGTTATTTATGTCAACGACAATAAAGACGAGTTGCGAGGCTCGAATAATCGCGTCTCCTCTTCACAAACTGTTTATTTCCGTGCATAATCCGAGCGTCAGTATGGGAGACATTACTGACATGTGCTGTACAATAATGTCTCCCGTACTGACGCTCGGATTGCCCACAGAAATGGACAATTTGGGAGGAGGAGCCTTGCGAGTTCGAGTCATGCGACTTGTTTTTATTACCGAGTTTTAGTTACCGATTGTCAACGATTTTAAAAACATGGTGCAAAGTCGGAATAATCTAAGCGTCAGTATGGGAGACATTACTGGCATGTGCTGTACAATAATGTCTCCCGTACTGACGCTCGGATTGCCCACAGAAATGGACAATTTGGGAGGAGGAGCCTTGCGAGTTCGAGTCATGCGACTTGTTTTTATTACCGAGTTTTAGTTACCGATTGTCAACGATTTTAAAAACATGGTGCAAAGTCGGAATAATCTAAGCGTCAGTATGGGAGACATTACTGGCATGTGCTGTACAGTAATGTCTCCCGTACTGACGCTCGGATTGTCCACAGAAATGGACAATTTGGGAGGAGGAGCCTTGCGAATTCGAGTCATGCGACTTGTTTTTATTACCGAGTTTTAGTTACCAATTGTCAACGATTTTAAAAACATGGTGCAAAGTCGGAATAATCTAAGCGTCAGTTAGGGAGACATTACTGTATATTCTTGTAACGTAACGCTTCCGTAACACCGGCCACCGGTGGCACAGGGGGCGCCGCGTACGCTCGCCGAATATCTAACGTAGCTTTTCCACGACTCGATTCCCTCTGCAGTAATCGCGATTACGCACAAAGCATTCGAACGGAAGCTGAAATGCAACGCGTAACACACGTATGCGTGTGTACGGGATAAATGCGCAGCGAGACGCACGAGTTTCTGGACCACCCGGATGGCAAAATCATTCAGCGAAATCTCCGAGAAAAATGTGTGTACAAAACGTGACTTCTCCGAAGCGATAAAAAGATAGAATTTGTATACATATACAGAGTGTCCCAAAAATGTCTCGCAATCCGGAAATGGGTTCCTCGGATCTTTTGAAGCAGCTTCTTCCTTTACGAAAATGTTCTCCGAGGCGCCGTTAACGAGTTATCAACGAAAAACAGTGACCAATAAGAACCGAGTACGGCTGACGCGAGGCGGCCCAGCCAGCCAGCGCGCGAAGCACAGTTCCGCTCGTTGGCTCGGTCGCCTCGCGCCAGCTGTGCTCGCCTCTCATTGGTCACTGTTTTTCGTTGATAACTCGTTAACGGTGCCTCGGAGAAAATTTTCCAAAGGAAAAAGTTGCTTCAAATGACCCGAGGAACCCGCCACTTTCGGATTGCGGGACATTTTGGGACATCCTGTGTATCTACAGCACGGCGAGAGAAAAGATACTCGTACGTCGACGACGTCCAAACCGATTCTCTAGTTGCATACTAAAAATTTGTTTACCATATCGAAAGCAAGGGGCGGTTGTGCGTACGAATACTTTTTATCTCGCCGCGCGTGCAGAGAGGAGTCGAAGAAAAGCTGTCACAGAGTGCCGTGAGCGTTTCTAAAGAATCAGATGATGCCAGATGCCGGATCGGTTGAAAATCGGTTGAATACCGCGCGATTGTCAAGTAACGCGAGAATTACCGGCACGCGAAAAGAAACAATAATTAGACAATAAAGAACTGTAGAGTCTCATCCGATACCGAAGATTGGTCGCGCGTTGCACTCTCCGCGTAGTCATTCGTCGTACCACGAAACGCTTACGGATAGGTAACGGACAAAGGTTTCGAATCACGAGCATACGCGATATCTCTGTTAGATCCCCTTGAATTTGTGAAGAAATTTCTCTCCGATTCGCGGATCGGATTGCGCAGAAATATGGACCGTTTTGGAAGAGCGATCGTCAACAGCTATAAAAAAAGAAAAATGAGCCGAGCTTCTCCCATTCTCAAGTTGTCCATTTTTGTGCACAGTCTGTGAGCGCGAATTAGACAGAGATTACTATACTTTCTCTACTGTAAATACACTCGTTTTCCACCGATACCGATCGACGATGTCAATCCACGATACAATCATCGCCAGATTCGATTGTTCGTTGCTTCGGTCGTTTTTACGTTGCGCAGCTAAAACGCCTGCAAAAAAAATACCACGCAGCGTAGACGCTGGTTGCGGTCCACACAAGCTACGGTTCGAATGCTCGCGACTCTTGGAATTGTTCAGATTATACAAGTACAATTTATCGCTACACGAACAGTCGTTTATCCGTGGAAACAGCGTACGTCGCCGACGCATCGCGATTCTCGCAGTCGTGCAAACGATCCAGTTTCATTGCTTAAGGGATAACTTTCTAATTGGATAGATTATTAACCCTTTGCACTGGCGACTCTGAGGCGCCACTAAAAATTGGTATACTAGTTTTCAAAATCATCTAAGAGCATCAGACTCTTTTATACTTAAAAAAAAACTATTAAAATTACATTGTACTTGCCAATAGACTCAATTTCATACGCACGAATCGCAATAAATTATATAAAATAGAAATACTGTAGATCAGAAATCATGTTTTGGATTTCGAATTCAAATAGCTTCGACTGCAAAGGGTTAATATCATACATACACGCATACACACAGAGGGAGAGACGCGCGCGCGCGCGCGCTCGCATCCACGCATGCATACATACATACATATATTGTCAATTACATTTTATAAATCAACTTTGTAGTATTTTTATCTTCTAAGTGTGGGTTTAATCGATTCCGTCTTTTTACACATCACAGCACGCTTATTATCCATGCATATAACATAGATATGTTAGAAATTTCGAACCGGTCGAAACGCATGATCGGCCGACCGCCGCAGCGCAGCACCATGATTTCCGATCATTGGCCACACGTGCGCGCGCACACTTCGGTGATCGGCAATAGGCGATATAAAACGTTGGTCCGTTTGTTAATCGATTCGTAAATTATCTTCGACCACCGCGATCACCAAAGCCCGATCGTGAATACCAAGACTATCCGTAACCTTAAAGCCTAACATCGTCGAGCAGGTTGATAATGCCGGCTTCCTTCGCAGAGAGGACTTCGCGCCTAGCGGGCACGTGTACAATTGTAAATGCACGGGCGTCCGTTTGCTTGCACGAATTCTAAACGGTTCTCGAGTCCGGTCGATTCGACACGATAAACATACACCTATTCAGCTAATTTACTTGTTAAAACTCGCTCTAATGTATTGCTGTTTATTCGACTCCTAAATTGTGTTTCGACTCGACCGAAGAGGAAAAGAAAGCAATCGATTGTAATAAACGAAAACCGAATGCCGACGTAGTCCGATATCAAATGTGAATTAATCAAAGTACACTGTACATTGAAATACATAACTGATCTCAAAAGATATATGTTCGGCCCTTTTTGCTTACGAATAATACGCGTCCGGAGTACAGTAATGTCTCCCTTACCGACGCTCGGATTGTCCATTAAAATTGACGATTTGGGAAGAGGGGATACGATTGTTCGAGCATTGCGGCTCATTTTTATTATTGTAGACAATTTATATACATGTATATAAGATATATATAAAAATAAATATATAATATATTATTATTATAATATTATTATTTTTATAATACTATAAAAATAAATCGCAAGGCTCGAATAATCGTGTCTCCTCTTCTCATATTGTCCATTTTTGTGGTCAATCTGGGCGTCAATTAGAGAGACATTATTGTACAGTAATGTCTCCCTTACTGACGCTCAGATTGTCCACTAAAATGGACGATTTGGGAAGAAGAGATACGATTATTCGAGCCTTGCGGCTCATTTTTATAATTGTGGACAATTTATATATATATAAGATATATATAAAAATAAATATATAATATATTATTATTATATTATTATTATAATATTATTATTTTTATAATACTATAAAAATAAATCGCAAGGTTCGAACAATCGTGTCTCCTCTTCCCAAATCGTCCATTTTAATGGACAATCCGAGCGTCGGTAAGGGAGACATTACTGTACATACCGAGAAACGAATCGGTTGCATGCGCGAATCGATCTGCTTCAAAAAATCCGTTCGAATCATCCGCTCGATGATAATCGAATCATCGAAAAAGCGAAACACGTATTCGTGACAAACGAACAGGAAATAGAAACAGATGCGATCTACGATAGCCGATGGAATTGCAAGCTTTCTAGGCAATGTTCACGACTCTGAATGAAATTTTTACAGAAATTCGCCGTACAGTCAGATAAAATCTGTAACTTCCAAAAATACAACCATCGCCCGTTCGAATTTTTGAAAAAATGAAGTTTCACTTTCATTCGATCGAAATCTACTGTTGTAAAATCTAGAAACCAGCCGAGCCCGTGATTATGGATAATTCGCGCAAGCAACTGTGCAATATCGGTCGAGATGAAAGCGCAGAGGAGAAGGAAAATCGTGTGAACAGTGTCGGCAACAAGATCGATGAAAAATCGGATGTGAACGTATTGTATACGAGCCAAGTAGATCCCACGACGGCCTCGCAGGAAGAAATACACAAGAAGATCTCGTCGGTAAAGTGTGTATTGGAGAAGGATCTTAAGGCAGCCGATTTCAAATGGTCGTTGTTTGTAGCGGCGTGCAACACGTATCGCTACGACACTTGCTTGAAGCCGTTTCCACCGATGTACATCAAGAACGAATGCAAAGACATCGAGGCCTTGGTAGAGTATTCGATATATTCATTGCAACTTGCCTTTATTCGACTGTAACCGAGCGTTAGTTCAAGATTCAAATTTTACTGCAGAGAAGAGCCGTAGAACTGATTCCACCACTTACTGTGATACTTAAAGCGTTGCAAGATCCAGATGTATACGAGCGATACAGCACAACTATAGAACTGTTGTATTGGGTTTTGATTCGTTTAAGGGATCCTACTATAAAAACTATTAGCAAAGACTCTGTAAGTACGTCCTGTTTCTTGGAACATTTTCTACGCAACTCCTTGGGTCCTTTAATAGATCAACGCTTTTGTTTGTTATTGGCAAATCTTTGGAGCGCAGTACGAGTCCGTATTGAGGAAGGTACCGTCAGAACTGTCAGTGGCTGCGCCGAATTTAATATTCCATGTTGCGAACGCGAAGCAGTCAGCATCGGAGGAAAAGTGGAAGACGATTGCGCAAGGTTGTAGAACCTTCTATGCTTATCACGGCAGCCGTTTAGAGAATTTCCATTCTATTATACATTATGGTCTGCAACAAAGTATGTGCAAGGCAAGTATTCTATATCGAAACGACCGTACGAAGCGGCATTTGTAATCACACATTATTGTTCCATCTTTAGAAATCATTGTTTGGTAAAGGAATTTACTTATCCAGCGAATTAAGTGCCAGTTTACCGCATAGTCCTATAGGATACGGATGGGGCGGTAGCGTTCTGGGAAGCGAGATGAATTGTATCGCTTTGTGCGAACTTGTCAATCACGTCGATGTCAAAAGTAGAGACACGGGTAATTATGTTTTATAATGACATATGTGCGATGTAGAGCATCGCAGATTATATACATATATGCGGAATAATAATACATGTATATCTCCAGAACCGGTTGCAGAGGGTACTGTTCAGACTGTATCTAAAGATTCCATGGGTGGCACAACCTCGAACAAATATTACTCGTTAACGAATAGTGAATTAGTACGAGTGAGATATCTTCTCGTTTACAGTCAAGAAGTACAAACCTCAAGGTAGTAATATTCAACATTTTAACACCCACCGTACAGTGGTATAACAATCATTCGCAATTTTTCAGGTCTACTAATAATAGAGGATTATTAGCATGGTTCAAGCAACATAAGTTATTAACATTCGTGCTCGGTTACCTGGTGCTACTGACCTCGGTTGGACTAACCCATAACAAACAAGTTGAAAAATATTATAAATTATTTGCTCAAAAAATTGGATTGGAGTAATTGGATTGGATATGTTTTTTACATTGCCGCGACTTCATTAATTCGTCCTTTTTTATTTACATTATTACATTCTGCTTTCTTTTTCTATTCCTTTTGTATACAATTTTTACTATAGTTTAACGTCAAATTGTATTTATTATCAGCAATAATATACACGCAGTTCAATACATATTTTAATATAGACGAATTATACATCAGATTCTGCTGAAAAATTCTGTAACCTTTCTATAGTTCTCTAATGAGAACCATTAATTTTTTTAAGCGACCCTATATTGTGCATATGTGGTGCCTCTAGTGGAGGAAATATGAAGCTGCTTTCGATGTCCGTACAGCGTTATTTGGTGCAGTGGTAAAACGCTCAAACTGTTCGCCGAATTATCGACTGTCGAATTTGACTAGCTCCGTCGATGTCTGTATAGCGCCAACTGACGCCGTGGCAGAACGCTGAAACTGTTCACCGAATTACCGACTGTCGAATTTGGCTAGCTCCGTCGATATCTGTACAGCGCCAATTAGTGCAGTGGCAAAACGGTGAAACTGTTCGCCGAATTTGGCTGTCGGTAATTCGGCGAACAGTTTGAGCGTTTTGCCGCTGCAGCAATTGGCGCTGTACGAACATCGAAAGGAGCTTCGAAACCTGGCCGCAAGAGGCGCCAGTGGCGACAAATTTAAATAGTATTTTACAAGGAAAATTGCACGAATCATTCAATGCATTGATTTTATTTATGCTCGCAATTTTTGCAGGTTTATGTTAGGAATACGGATGCTAGGAGGACAAATGAAGAATCCACATCATTCATAATATCTTTATATTGCATATTCAATTCGTATGAGTGATCTTTCGATATACGTACCAACGCTATCTTTCCCGCGAAACGTGCCTTCCTAAAAAACGCTGATAACTAATTAAATTGTTACAAATTTGAGACGTAACCTTCGCGGAAACGTACATACCTGTAGACGCCTCATTTCTGAATCACCATAATCATCGTAACTTAAACATAGAAATTGTTAACGAAAAAAAGTAACTTAAATATTAATTCTAATTAAATCTAAATTCTGCTGGGAAAAGAGCGGAGGTGGAGAAAGGTTTGCGGATGGATTTACACGTTGGTATGTTTCTTTACTCGAATAAAGTAAATCATACATAATTATTATATAAAATTATATAATCGTTATCCAAGTAGGATGACGATGCAACAAAAAGTCCTCTCGATCATCTGGCGATGTATTCGCGACGTCGTAATTCCTGGAACTGGAGGAGCCTCGTTCTATTTTAAACAAACGACCGGGCAAGAGGCGGGACAGCTCTTTAATTAAAACGCGGGTCTTAATGACTCTTTAAGAACCGCAGAAAGCAAGCAGAAGCGAGCAGGAGCGAGTGGAAAGCGAGCAGAAGCGAGTAGAAAGCGAGTAAAAAGCGAGTAGAAAGCGAGTAGAAAGCCAGCAGGAGCGAGCAGAGGCGAGTAGAAGCGAGTAGAAGCGAGTAAAAAGCAAGCAGAAGCGAGTAGAAAGCGAGCAGAAGCGAGTAGAAAGCGAGTAGAAGCCAGCAGGAGCGAGTAGAAGCCAGCAGGAACGAGCAGAAGCGAGCAGAGGCGAGTAGAAAGCGAGCAGAAGCGAGTAGAGCGAGTAGAAAGCGAGCAGAAGCCAGCAGAAGCGAGCAGAAGCCAACAGAAGCGAGCAGAAGCCAACAGAAGCGAGCAGAAACGAGTAGAAAGCGAGTAGAAAGCGAGTAGAAAGCGAGCAGAAGTCAGCAGAAGCGAGCAGAAGCCAACAGAAGCGAGCAGGAACGAGCAAGAGCGAGCAGAAGCAATGTCTGAGTTCCAGCTCGGCAATAAGTTCCCAGATCGGAGCAGATACGGCGACGCTGATTTGAACGCGATGGAAAATACAATTGCGCGGGCGCATGCAGCCCAGCTAAATCTCGGGGCTGACAGGCATTCTATCGCGGCCACGATCCAAGAGCAAACACCCCGCGGCAGGTCCCGATTGCCCCGATAACGAGCATAAACGTCGCCACGGCTCTCGTGGAACCATGTCCGCGGACTTTTTATCGGGGCCGAGCCTGCCGCGAACTTTTGGCTCCCGACGGCCAATTATTCCCCCGACTTTATAAATATTCTTCGGCTTCGGGACGTTCAAGGTCGTACTAGTTAGGGACGGTCGCATGAAGATCGCATCTTAATGATAGCGTGCCGCTACGCCGCCGGGGCGAAAGACCCCCGATATCGATCCCCAAGGACAACAGAAAAGGGTTGTGTCCACGAAATCGCGGTTTTCGACGGACACGTGACGAACGGCTTCTTTCCGAGTCAGTGGGTCAGGCGCGGCGAAAGTGTGCTGCCTTCGTGCGACGAATTTACTTGTACTTAACCCTTTAAAAAAGAAGCTGAAATTTCTGAACATTGTTGGGAAACATTTGTTTTCTATCGGCGGATGAGTAAAGAAGCGAACGAAATGCGAAATAAGCGAATAAAATGCGAATAAAGTGCAACCCTGAGGTCGTCAATGCGTAGACATAAGCATACATACGTGCTGAAAGGGTTGAAAACGATGTTATTCAATTAAAGACGTCGAATGCTTTTTTATAAGATTTTAACTGACACAGTATAGGTGGAATAAGTTTGCCCTAATTGACGCTCAGATTGTGCTAAAAAATGGACAATTTGGGAAGAGGAGGTACGATTATTTATATACTATTTACTTATAAATAAACTTGCGGCTCGATTTTATAGTTAACAATGGATTAATATTATTAATATTGATATTATTCGTATTAATATTATTAAAATTAATATTATTCGTATCAATATTATCCATATTAATATTATTCGTATCAATATTATTCATATTAATATTATTCGTATCAATATTATTCATATTAATATTATTCGTATTAATATTATTAAAATTAATATTATACGTATCAATATTATCCATATTAATATCATTCGTATCAATATTATCCATATTAATATCATTTGTATCAATATTATTCATATTAATATTATTCATATCAATATTATCCATATTAATATTATTCGTATCAATATTATTCATATTAATATTATTCGTATCAATATTATTCATATTATTAATATTAATATTATTCGTATCAATATTATTCCTATTATTAATATTAATATTATTCGTATTAATATTATTCATATCAATATTATCCATATTATTAATATTAATATTATTCTAATTAG